CCCCCCCCCCCCCCCCATTTCTGGACGCCTCGACAGGTTTATACACCTTTTAATAACATCCGTACCAAACGTTTGTGTTACTGAAGGTAGGCGTGTTGACTTAGGAAGTGAATGGACCGCGCTTTCCGCCCTAACAGTAAAGATTTTGCGAACATCCTGTCACTGACTGCTGCATCTTACATGACCTTTGTAGTCGGAAATGCGTTTTTTGTACGCCTGAATTTAACAGACGCAATATATTTAATATTTTCTATTAGAAGATACGCATTATTATTCGATTGAGCGAATCACGTAGATTTTCCTGGGAAGGAAATAAGTTATATCTCATTTGAGAGAGATTTGAATAGTACAGAGTTATTAATACTGAACCAGTGGTAATTTTCTACTGGCTTACTTCGCTAAGAACGACTGATTTCATAATTATCTACTCGAAAATATCTCCGGTGGGTTATTAAAATCTTTTCAATACACGAAGGAAAAATCTAATGAGATCTGAGGAAATTATTGAAATAAAGGTGGCAATAGAATTTTTAAAGAGAGAAATGCTCCCCGTCCTTGTAGAGACTTAAAGTAACGTGTTTAAGTTTTGAATCTAATTTTCGTCCATCACGAAGCACGAACGTCGGGCGGGTGAGAGGGGCGGGCGGTGGATGGAGGGTAAAAATTAAATTCCCCTCACAGAATTGAACATAAACGCAGGGAATAAGGCAGGAAGGAGCGGAGAAACGACTGTGCTCGGGAACATTGCTTAAGAAGGCAACTTTGCAGCGCAGGAAGACACTCTCGCTTTACTGCAAAACTGGCATTAGTTTCATGTTCTTTCTAGAGCGCCTGACAAATGATTCGTCTGTGTATATGGTCGTAATGAACGGATTCCTGAAGAACCTAAGTCTCAGTATTATACGACATTAAAATTCCTAACGATGTGCGTCAGAGTTTGTACTCTTCAGCAAGCGGACAGTTAGCAGGGCGATAAAGCCAGAGATGAGGATAAGAGATTCATAAAAATTTTAGTCGGAAAATGTAGAAGGAAGAGATTGCATGAGACTCCAAGGAATAAATGGAAGGATAATATTTTTAAAGTGGGTGTTAATCAGATGGATATCCGAAAATTCGCAAGTATCTGTTTAGTGCATTGTCCATCGCTTTTACGCCACATGGACGCATGCTTCGGTGGTATGTTGGTTAAGATGTCTCAGGTACGGTATCTACACTCGTGTCTCTACGACTCTTCGAACACCCTGTGTGTCTGACGGAATGTAAAGACGAAACCTCTGCTCAAGGTGTGATGTCATCCGTGACGTGTCTGTAGTAAGTGGCGCGCTCTGTAAGTCTGCTTAAGTGATCACTCTTAAGTAAGCTGTTTAAACCGAAAAGCAATTAAACTTGCGATGATTAAGTGTTTAATCCACTCTTGCAGAGTGGGGCGTCTGCAGATAAGAGTGCATGATTTTATAAGTAATTCCGGCTCACGTAATTCGAAGCAGCATTTAAAGGCTGTACATTTTAATGGTCGCTGGGTTATTCGCCTTTGTCCCGCCCTGTTTCAGGTTATGTACACGGTGTCCTGCCCCTCGTACGCCAGAATCACGCAGTTGCAAACGAATTGCGAACATCTCAGAGTTACCGCGCTAAGACCTGATGTTGCACAGAAAGTAATGGAAAGGCGTTCGACTGTCTGAGTTCCTTCTACGCGTTCTCTCTACTGTCGTATCTATACTGTGTTCCTCGTCGACGCGGGATCCTAAAGTATGCCACGACTTCATTATTCGCTGAACTGAACGCGGCTAAAGAACTGAAAGTGTGGACCCGACTTGAACATTTGCAGTTCCGAACGTAAATGAAATTTGTTCTAGTGAGTCTCGAACGAACGAGGCAGTTTAGGGAAACATCCGTTCTTACTTCCTTGTAGAAAACCCACTCCTAGTTTCGCACCCCCTCTTCCCCCTCCCCCCCCCCCCCCTTCCCTGTTCACCTCATTTTACGTTTTGCCGTTTCGCCTTCATCCCTGTAATATAGATTCAAGATCTTTAGAACTCGGAACTACAGTAACACAGATCCTGGCATCTCAACACGGTCTCGAGACGATTGGGTGTCGCGTGAGTGTTCATCCAGAATATACGAGCGAGCTCTTTATTTCCTTGAAGAAAATAGAAAATAAATTGGGGCGGGGGGGGGGGGGTTGTGAAATTTCAAGCTACGTGGCCGTGGCGATCAGCACTTGAAATTCTGTACTGCTGACGGGGGAATCCTTCAAGAAGGGTCAGCAACTTCTCACCGCAAAATTCCGTCGTATTACGAATTAGTACAACAGGACTCGGGCTTGCATGAAGACTGTTTTGCACGACCTATCGTTGGCGGCACATGTAGCACGACGTCTAGCAGTGGCTCAGTCTCATTGTACTAAGAGTAAATTCACTTCGTATTTATGCACTACAACTCCGGATTCAAAATTGTACACTTCCCAATATGTCTGCATATATCTTCATTTACGTTCATCCGCGAACCCAGAATATACTGACTTTGTGAGCTGTGGGTACAGTGCGTACGCCATCGTAATGATTTATTTTGTTTATGGACGTTCATTTAATCGAGTAATAAAGGAGAAATCTGACGGTGTCACAGTCTGACAAGCAAATATTCTGCACAGACCTTTTGGCTCTTGTTTCAAATGCGAATCGCAGTAAATGGAATGCAGCCTGAGAGGTTCTTACCTGCTTTGTGACAGAGTCGATCAGCCTGACGTAAATGTCCTGCTCCTGTCGCACACCTGAAACAGTAAACAGTACCACAGCGTCACATCGGGCGGTCTGAGGTCAAGGTAACAGAACAAAGCGCCAACAGCTCTGTTAATTTTCCTTCACAAAACCTTTTGTATTTCCACTTGCAACCTACAGATTTAGATATTAAAACGTAGGGACAGAATACAGATCAGACTGTTTGAGCACAGGATGCTGAGAACAGCATTTGGTCCAAAGCAAAGGTAGCTAATAGTAGGGCGTATTATTATTTAGTGTTCTGTCTGACGACAGGTCCATATGAACAGGATCCTTCCATCCTTTTCTCGGACTGGGACCTGTTCATATACGTTCTTGGCAGATGATCCAGAAGTGGTTTGCCATTGCCTTCTTCTGTGTGTGAATGGAGTAATTGTTGGGATGCCACGGAGGAAAACTCCGTGTTGCCTAGACCACGGCCTTGCCCAACACAAGTTATAAATTCGGGCAACGCCGGGAATCGAACCCGAGACCCCAGGATTACAAGGCTAGCGTTCTGACCGCTAGACCACCGTGGCAGCTGGGACGATAATATTAAAATTAATCTTCGGAAAAAATGTGGGAAATGTTCACTGTACTTTCTCCGTGTATGGAACCCGAAGGTTCACTGCTGTTTTCGCAAGAGCCCGCCACTTGTACCTACCCAGAGTCATATGAATCCAGTTCACATAATCGATTCTATTTCTTTATGATACATTTTAATATTATCATACCTTCTGCACATAGTTTTAACAAGTTATCTTTTCGTTTAAGGTTTTACATTTAAAATTTTAGTGATCCGTAGAACGACATACTACTTATAAAAAAGACTAGCGGTACAATAAGATACAAAGTTAAGTCCTCTTGCATTTTGTGAGGATTCCCGTGGGACGTGTGGGTGTGACTCCGTAAAGGCGTGATTGTGAACTTTCACTTAAAATGCACGTAGCTCGCCCTCCTCAGGGAATGTATCGAGTCGAGTCTTGAACTCAGTCTCGCCGCTGGCTACTAGTAGGAGCAATGCGCACTCCAAGTCTCCTTGACGACCGTTTGCGGGTTATTTTATTACAATCGAGAGGAGCACAGAAGAAGAAGAAGAAGAAGATGTGGCGGTGGATGGGGTCTCGAGGGACTCGCCACCCGGCAACTGAGATAAATACCATAGAAGGTGCAAGGAGGAGAACTTAACGCGTTAAAGACGCAGCTGTTGTTGAGCAATGACACAGCGTGATGTCCAGCACTGATGCCGAGGCTTCGGCATTTACCGATCAGCCGGTCTAAAGTTTGTAAGCAGCAATGTTTATCCTCAAGAATTAAGTAAGAGACTGCGTCGTCCTTGACAAGCTCAGTTGATTTATAAGTCAGCAGCTTTTCCACCATTCTTGGGACCTGCATGTTCATTACCGTGTGCACAACAGCCCGCCACTGGTTCCTATGCTCACACACCGATTCCTTGACATCCTTTTAATATTATCCTCCCATCTATGCTTCGCAAATGGCCTCTCCCCTTCAGGTTTTGCAACTGATATTCTAAAGTCATCTCTCATGCCTCCCACTTCCTAGCTCCTACACGTCTGTGTGTGTACGCCATGGACGCGTGGCCGATGGATTCTAATCCTCGGTGAAAGATGATTTTAGAGCTGTATTCGCTTTAACACCGGAGAAACGGTCCCTGGTACCACTTGGTTATGGCACTCATCGCCCTGATGATGGACACTGTAAGATCCTCTGAAACGTCGGTCAGTATGTACCAGACTACATCCCAGAAGACGGCCATCTTTATATTCGTCGCCGTGAGAACTTGAAATCTCACTCGGCTACTGGCTGGGACGGCGTAGACATGATTGGAAAAATATCATTTTGGCCCTTGTCGAGAATCGAATCCCGGCCGTCAAGACTGGCGAATTATCTGGGAGGCCCTTGGTGACCGGCTCATGCATGCGCCTAGGAAATGCAATTGTGTAGTAAGTAGTGCATCTGAATTAATTATGCAAGCGCAAACTGTCAGTTCGTCACTGCCAATCTTCATTTGTTATCTCGTTCATATGCATTGCACTCTGGGAAGAACTTGTCACCTACTTTAGTCCAGATTCATCTCTCGTTACGTCGGGACCTTTAGGAACTATACAGTTCGAGAGATAACTACAGTTTAGTGACGTTTATGTCAGCATCACAGTACGAAAATCGCCTATACGTCCATCGGACATCTGTCGATGTTGAAGTGTTTGCAAACGAACGCCGTGTCTTAAGAATTGCTCAAATTAAGAACGAATTAACTCATCTTCCTGATGATGGAGAAAGCAATTACCTCTGAAACGTTGGTGAACTTCTATCAGAATACACGGAGCTACAACCCAGAAGACAGCCACCCTCGGAACATTGAAATAGATCTTAAATAGTGTTTAATGGATTCATTTGCCTTGAGACAGGGTCCATTGACGAGCTGTTGTGAGCACGGCAATGAACTGCAAGGTTCCGTAAAGGGGGCGGGGGAATTTTGTGGTCAGCTGAGCGACTATGGGTTTCTCAATAAATATTTTGCTCCATGAAGTAGGTTTGCGGTCCATTTCCGTTCATCTTTCCTCTTCGGCTGTGCTAAATTTGCCTGATATAACCTAATAGGTTACCACAGTTGGTATTCTTGTAGGTTCTCACGTGTAAAGGTCTGACAATTCCTACCTAGGCCACTTATGACCTCCCTTACCTCAGAAGTAAGTAATTCCATTTATAGGTTGATCTCATTATCTGGGGCACACATCCGTTTTCTTGCATCATGCAGCTCGTAATCCCCGTCAGGTCACAGCATCTGTTACATATCTGTTCCTAATTACTGGCTGGACAGACGGACAGACAGACCCAGCAAAGTGCTCTGCCGTCCTTACGAATGAAACATCCTTAATGGCACATGTCTGTATCGGCTGTCCGCCGTCAGTTTTGCGCCACTATAACAGATTTACAAGAAGGCTTTCAAATCATACGAACCTGTCACATTTACAGCATTTAATTTCTGAATATGTGTAGCTTATAAGAATATATATATTTTTTAATATTATTCTGTTATTTAATTTCGTTATATCAGCTACTGAGTTTGTACGGCGTTCAAAGTAGTCGTGTCTTATTTTGAGGTGCGTGCCGATATTTTTCTTCAAAGGACTGAGGAAATCCACGAGAAATAGCAAGCCTTATATATAAAGAGACTGGAAACGAGTTCGTGCCGACCGTGATTTAGACTTGTTGGTCCTTTCCCTCTTCTAGTGTCCGCCCACTGACATTTCCTACGCTCTGTTACGTTTTTCAGTAAGCCTGGTTTAGTTAGCCCGCATATTATAAGTGAGACATAATCAACATAAGTTTCTCGAAATTCAGAGAACACTTCGAAATGTGTGTTTGCTGAAACAGATGAAACACGATGTTGCGTGATCTTCTTCTGACTTTGCTCGTTCGTAACAATTTATCCATAATAATGCTGAGAAGATTTTTTCCCCACACCACAGGGTTTAATCCATTTAGCCACATAATAAGAGATGGTGACGTCACTATATTTTATGCATGGCGTTTCCGGTTCTGTGGATTTTGAGAGGACGTTTCTGGTGTGTGCACAAGAATGTCAGTCACAGAAAGCGATGAGGGAGTCCCGTAACAATGAATCTCTGCAAACAAGGATTCTTCCACCGCCGATTTACAATTTTTCCTCAGATCTGTACCAATCTTGCAAGTCCCCCCACGGGCGTCCCGACGCTAATCAACCTCTCCTCATGTCGTATTCAGACCGGTCTTTTGTTTAAACTCCTGACATGAGCTCGTCGCATGTGGATCCCCCGAGGAACGCCGTTCCTGTATCTACCTGTTCAAACGCGAACTGCCCTCTGCGGCTTCATCCTCTTTTACGTTTTATTCCGTTTGTTACAGGAACTCAATAGTCGACTTAACGATGTACATGTTTGTTAATATAAAGTATGGTCACTGCGTTCCATTTCAATTCAGCCATTTATGCTTCTAACTAATTCGTCGTGCATGCGTTCAGTTACAGCAAAGGTACAGTCCACCGACTTGTCCTCACATCCTTTCTGAGACGCATTCAGCCACCCGCGAATTTATCAATCAGTCCATCAATCATCCATTCGGTGTATTTACCGGCTCCTTCTCCTTTCTTCCTTGGATGAGTCCATCTTCCCATTTCAGTATTTTCATTATTTCCCCCATCTTTCAACTCGGAATGCTTCGTGATCATGTACGCTGTCGGTCTTCGCCATAATCTGAGTTAAACCTGCGTTTCTGCTAACAGAATGTTCGTAATATTTGTAAGCCCCCACCCCACCCCCTTCCCCAAAACAAAATCCCATTTATTTAAGAAAGAGCACTAATCAGGGTCGCAGTAAAGTTCTTTGTTAATCAGTTCCGCGAATGGTCTGCTGGGGCCCGGTGCTTACCGGCTTCAAAGGACGCAACATCGAAATCCTGGAGGGACCGTGGTACGGCGCCGGAGGTGGACACTCGACAATAATCCCACACCTTTCCTAGTAATTGAAGGCGGGTTGCAGCTAATCCTGTGCGGTTTCACTTGGCTAGTAAGTGGAGCTACACTAACTTGTTGCTTTTATGGAAATTCCCTGCACGGCCCGTGTAACAAACAAATACGTCTGACCAGGAGCCTAGGGCAGAGCCAAAGTGGATTTGCTGCTATCATTATGGGATTTAGAACGAACTTTTTTTTCCACCCGGTTCAAGACAGGTACAGTGTCTTCAGCGACAAATTGAACTGATGTTCATAGCATCGCAGTGGCGTAATGTACTATCAGGTTACTTCAACCCGCTTACTCATTCTGCGTCTGTTCGTCCCCCGAATCAAACTAAGCGATTGGATGCAAACAGCATCTTTGTAGTATTCCCTGTGTTGGACAGTACCAACATGGCGGTCTGTTTAACTTTGGGACGGAAAGACGTTCACTGTAATATTTCGAGACGATTCTTTGAGACAGATTTGCCAAAATGTGCGACTTAGTTAATGTAGACTTTCATATTAACAAATTTAATCCATTGATCATTTTTTTTGGGGGGGGAGATAATAGTCGTTCATTACATTCTTCTCAGGTGTCCGACAGTGACCTCATTTTGAGCCAAGTCAAAGCAGTCCACATGCTCTTATACTGCATAACACATCTGTTTTTTTAATATTATCCTCTGAACTACACTTAGGTCTCCGAAGCTTTTTCCTGAATGATTTTCGACCAAAAATTTGTGCGCATTTTTCTGGTCTCCCATTCGTGCTACATACCCCGTCCATCCCGTAATTCTGAATGCGAATCCAGAGAGATGACCCCAACATTGTCATCAGACGCAGTAAGCAAGGAAGAAATTCTGTGCGCTGTTCCCATGTCATTTTTCCTTTCACTGAAAGTTCGTTTTGTTTTATTGTTAAGGTGATCGAATCAAGGACGATGTGATGGGCGCGACATCTAGCACGCATTAGTAATTCTTAGAAATTTTTAGGGACGAGACGGCGTGGAAAACATCAGCGTAAACAGTTACGGCGGTGGGCTGAATGTCGTCCAATGTTACATTTGGCCTTGACTCAAAGGAAGTCGGCAAGCTTCGACCTCGTAAGGACCCGGCGTTGCGTAGATCGATGCAGTCATGCGCCCACTTTATACTTCGCAGTCCCGTCTTAAAATAATACGACCCTTGTTCCCCCGGTAGGCCGCCGGACCTCTAGCTCCTTTTCCAGGGGCTGTGTGTGTGTGCATCGTCTTAATCTCCCCGCGTGGTTTTGTGGTTTCCTCCGTCGTGAGCCCGCAAGGGTCTCCCCAGGACCTTACATCGGAACCGCAACGAGAGGATTGTAAGTACAAGGAGACCGCGTTGAATGGAAGCCGTCGGACGTTGGGGGACTGAGAGGAAACCGCATGAGTAGAGGCGCTCTCTCGGGGGTCTGATGGACAATGTGGGCGGGTCGTTCTACCCTGCAGGTGCTGGATTCATGTGCCTCTGAGAAGAAGCGAGAGGCAGATTATCCTAGCGGTGTATGAATACATTAACGTAGGTCTAAGTTGTTCATGTTTACGTACCATTTGCGTAAAGTAGCTGCAGACGGTACTGGATGCCATTGTTCGTCTTCTGTCCTTCCGTCTCCTGCAAAACAGACACAAAGGCAATTAGTACCAAAGTAGTTACGTTCTCAGTCTGTCTATCAGCGACTGACATTCAGTAGCTCGCTCAGTTACAAAGTTTTATATGCAATGTACTTCACTTGTGACTTCTTCACAAAGAGAAGATGAGCTACTGACAGCGTCGTTAAATAAACTAAACCTCGTGGGGCGTTCGTAGGTGAATGTCGAGTTGCGGTAAAGTGCAAAAAAGTCCACGGTGAAACCATGCTGGTGGACTGTGCCAAATACAGCATTCTCACATGTTTATAGCTGATCGATCGTAGGTTATTTAACGACATTGTATCATCTCAAGAGAGCTGTTGTTATGTCCTGTAATCCGCCTGGAGGACTGAGGAGAAGCGAGACGCAGACGGGATTCGAACCGATTATCTCTCGAATACGAGTCGGAATTGAACTGGCTCCTCATGTAACGTTTGCGTTGATAAATGGAGACAGTTTCTACTCTACATTTGCTCCTCTCACTCGCTGCAGCATTTTATTCTGGCCCTGTATTACCGACCTAGGCAACAGAACAACTTTAGCCAGAAGTTTCACAATGAAAATGTTGGACGGTGTAATACAGCTCCTACCCCCGACCGCCACTACACTCCGGTCTGATGATAAATGTTCTTCCCGAGTCGCACCCTAATCCCCTGCATCGCCACGAACACAATTACCTGCCCTCTGTCTCTGTCCCTCTCTCTCTCTGTCTCTGGCTCGTACATCCTGCAGCATCTCTGGTCCAGTCCATTGACGTCAACAGTTCGGTAATGCAGGGACCTGAAACTGTTACTGACACTTAGGGTCGGTATTACACGTCAGTGTCGGTGCACACGTACGCAGACTACTGCGTGGTGCGTGCGTCAACGTACCTACGTGATCGTGTTGTAACATTACGTTGAAAAAGAAATTCTGACTTGACTTCGTTCTCCAAGCGATGAATTTAATTAATTCGTTTCGTATCTTTCCGTTCTGAGGTAACGAATCTTTGCGACATCCTGTAGGACCTCTTGGTTGAGGGATCAGCCTGTCATAAAGCTCCTTTATCACATGAACGCTGTCATATTCCGATTAGAAACAGCAATTTTGTCGTCTTTCTCTCTCTCTGTAAATGCTGTGGCCCATTTGTTTAGTCCTGAATATTTCCGTAAAGGCCTGTCAAGGTCGAGTCTTCTAATCCTTTACGTCACCACATCCCGGTGAACCACGTTTTAATAATTCAAGTCAGATTTCGGAAGTTTGGTACGAGTTTTTTGCTCGTCAAATACGAAATTTGACATCCTTATAGAAAATTTAAGAAAGCCATCGCTTCGTAGAACGTCGACTCATTGCGCCGGGTTTTGCTGGGTCGTACAGACAGTCGCAAGCCCCACCTTGTGTGTCAGGGGTGTCAGGAAGCTGTACATAGTTGTCGTCGCTTCGCAGACCCCCCAGAGGACTTTGACACCGTAACAATAAGAGACCACACTGAGTGTCAGTATAATGTTATCGGTGCCGTCCAATCACGGTCCCCTATAAATCGAATGCTATTGTAGTTTGCCTATTGACACGTCACACGATCACATAATACCTGCGTCACGTTATTAGTACACGGGCCAACACTTACTACACTGCATTTACGCTGGACCGTCATGGTACAGCGCCATGTTTTAACTAGGTACGTCTTCATCAACTTTGAACTATTCAATTCGTAAATGAGAATGACCTAAATCGTAGAGAAATTACAAGCTCCGAGTTCCGGAGCTCTGTAATAAAATGTCTTCTTTCTTATTTATTTATTAAATTGTGTTGTTTAAGTTGTGGCTTATTTAACGACACCATCACTAACCCAGGCTGTATGTAGCATTAAATGACTATAATATATCTGAAAGGAAGTGGTCGTGTGTAATTTAAGGTAGGCTTCTATCCTGTCATCTGCCTGTAGAGATTTCAGTCATGACAACGGGTCTCCTTCCTGAGGTTTGAACGCTGGACCTCCCGTTCTGCTTCATCAAATTCCTTTTCTTCTGTAAGAACAATGATTACGTCACCAGAACTTCCTCTGACGCCTTATCCTTAAAAGTCTTCTTCTTCTTCTTCTCATGCGTGTGAAATCGACCGTGGTCCTTTCCAGTCAGCGTACGCTCGCCGCTGCTAACTCTTCCTCAGTCACCCCCCACTGTATCGCAATTCTTCTCTAGTGACTTCGTAGAGTTCGGTTGGTCTACCGGGATTCGAATTTTTCACTTCGCCAACGCGTCCGAACTGACGTCCTCTCGAAGTTATACCGAGGGCTCTATCTCCGGGGTAACGCGGTCGGAGCGTGGACCCCCACCGGGCTGAAGAATGCGTGGGGCTTCCCCTCCAGTCCCCCATACGCCTTTACAAAGTCCATAGCCTTGGCTTATAGCCTCCTTAGAGGGCACGTGTCTCTCTTCAGGGTTAAAGGGGTCCGAGCATGAAGCTCCACGCGCCTTTGCGTCTTACCTGGTCTTTCTCGATGAAGCCGATGAAGGCGGTGCGCTCGATCTCGACCGGCTGGCCGGCCCTGTCGTACAGTGCGATTACGAAGTGGAAGAAGTTGGACTTCCTCAGGTTACTTGGCGGTTGCTTCTCGAAGTGCGCCCGCCCGATGCCCACACTGCAGTCGAAACAGACAGAAACAGCCGGTTAAAGAGGGCGGGTCACTGAGGAAACAGTAGGTGGATGGAGTATGTAGCATGCACGCAGAAACAAGAATCATATACAGAATTTTGATTAAAGAACTGCATGAGAGGAGACGTAGGTGAAGGTAGTATTTAAAGATAATATTAAAAAGGTGCTTATAGGATGCGAGGGTGTGAATTGGAATGAACTTGCTAAACTTAAGTGTTTAGTAGCGGATTTCTGTGAAAACGGTGATTACTTAATAGTAGGGAGAGTTAGCTCAAGACTTTGAAGGCTGCTGTTTAAGGTGCATTCATTAGCACGCGTTTAGTTAGTTCAGTTAAGTATTTAACTTAAGATGTTAGTCAGTCATTTATTTCAGTCTGTTCTGAGAGGGTTTGATCAAGTCAATTTTAATATTATCATCGCCTGTACCACGCCCTGGTTGCTCAATTGGTCTTTTCTGCAATGGCTACCACTGAACGCTGCTAATCGGCGATACAATCCTATTCCACCAAGCAGATCGAGTACGAGCACAAAGCGTTTTAATTGTCTACGAACGAACGAACGTACATTACGGTCATGTATGCTCGGGAATTTTCGCTTTTCAGATTGGTCCCTGCAGGGCCGCGAGCTTCATAATAACCAGCGAAGCTAAAAGCTTTTCGGACTCTTTGCTGAAGTGGATCGCCGTGCCAGGTAGACAACAAGCACGACAATACTTGTACATCGGCCAATAACTTGACTGATGTTTCTCCTGACTTTTGACGAGCCGTCCAGGTTAATTCGTGATAAACACCACGAAATGTTTTTATGACTAATTCGTTCTGCAAACTTCCGACCGAATATTAATTAGACGCTAATAAACCTGTGCGATTGGTACAGCAAACCAGACGGATTACTTTTAAACTTTTATTGTCTGAGCTTCCGGGACTCAAAACGGACGGATTCTACGGGTAGAGAGAAAGGCGAAGTTTCGCGAGAAGTGGAGACCACATGTGCCTTAAGTTCGTCTTGTTTAATTGTGTTACTGATGAGCCACGTGACAGGAGTCCTGGGTTGGATTCTAATGCCTCCTCCTCCTCTCGACGCCCTCACATTAGGCCTTCGCCTGCTTTCGATAGCCTAGCCTAATCGAACCGCGTGTACTCAGATGTCACGTTTAACAACTATTGCTTTCGCTTAAAAGTTTATATGAAGAGAGAGAGGGGAGGGAAATTTTGAAAACAACGGGCAAATATTTGTGATTGCAGGAGCTAGAGGAAAATGTTTTGCAGGAAATTTGGTACAGGAATCTTCAAAGGAGATTAGGCAAAATGTTGGATAAACAGTTGGTAAAATAAGATTGTAGTATTTGAAGATTCAGAAAGTGAACAGAATATATACTGAAATATGTGAGAAGTGAAAGTTTGGATGAGGAAATTTTACGCCTGCGTACAAACGCGTATAAAACAGATTGCAGCGTAAGAATTCTAAAACAGCATTGCACTGGCAAACTTCAGGGCCAGTAGCGAAGTACCTGAAAGACAATGGGGAAATGATTTGCGACGAGATCATGGCAGGAGTTTTGGAGACTCTTTGAGAGACATTTAATTTTTCACAGAGCAGACTGGTGGGATGTAATTAACTGGTGGTAGAAGCTTTATCACTGAGCAAACTTCTCTGGCCACAGTTTAAACAAAAAAAAAAATCTAGGCGTCATGAGTAATAAGAGAGGTGCACACACATAAAAGTCATGTAGGGTAGCCATCTTGGAGGAATGCTGCAAGAGACATTAATGTAAGAGCATTAAAATATAATGACCTGTCACTTTACATACGTCGTTGCTTCTCTGACGCTGTCAATATGTCGCACACTGAATGGGCATATGCTGAATTTACGACAGTGTAAAAAGCAGGCCCTTCACACAGCAGCAGCAGCAGCAGCAGCCTACACGAGACAAACAAATTAGTTGGTAAAGTTCTCGGCAAGTTTAATTCATAACACAATAATGTTCTTGTTGTGGAGGCAGCAAGCCTATTTGTTAGTTTTCCTTCCACTTCTTGTCTTCTCAGCTAACAGCACTCTCTTATTAATTGAAGCTGCTGTCCTCTGGCGTCGCTGATTGCTACCACACAATTATTATTTTTTTTTCTTTCCATATAACTGACAGCATGACCCCGCCACCAGAATGTCTCCCCCAGCATATACATACAGGGTGTCCATAAAATTTACAGTTTATCGTGCACTTAGAACCACTGAGTCGTGTCAAGGGAGGAGAATGATTTTACTGTGGATAAATGCCTCTGTGATGATACATATTAGTAGAGAGGTAATCTACACTCGCAATACCTCGACATAGCTGGGAGGATAATATTAAAATGTGTGTTCAGGAAACAATGATTATATCGATTAGATGTGCATCGAAACTAGGACTACAGGCAGGCTGTTGTGAACATGGTAATGGACTGTGGATTTCCATACAGACATTCAGTTTCTTGACAGATTTTCTAGGATTTACTCCATGCAGTTAGAGGAATGTATTGTGGAGATAATCGTCAGATGGCTTATTTATACTTGAAATTTGCTTGGTGGTGTGTTTAAAGACACGTTGATCCACTCGTATTACAAGGAATATTACAATTTTGTAATCTTTCGGAACCTTAAAAATCATCAATCAGGCGACGTGTCATTGACAGGAAAACGACCAAACTCGGAAGTTTTGACTGCTCGCAGGGAATATTCGTGACACGTCTACTGAACCAACCAAAGCTGCCATTCTGCCAAACGCGGTAGCTACCTGACGAGCTCCTGTTATCATGAACACGCTGTACGTGTAGGTACTGACTCTGTCTCTCTCTCTCTCTTTCACCCCCTCCCACGTCAGGGAAACGAGAAGCGAAGCAAATGATGATGACATTATGTTAACCTGCTTATATTCGTTACACTGCCGGAAAAAGAGACACGTTTGCATCACGTGGACTTTTTGTCGCTCGCATGTGACCACGCCTCCCACACGCCACAGTAAGTATAATTGCACCAACATCGAGAATAAACTACGCGAAAAATGTACGTCCCGTCTTCTTCGCGAGTGGTTTGATCTGTCGTGAGATAACGTGAATTGTTAGCGTCACTCTAGAGAATTAGCTCTTCCCTCACCGTCTGTCCTGTCCGTCACACACAAATTAATGGGCCTCCTTCGCATTCGTTTGCTTTCTTACTTTTGGGTTTTCCAGCTGCTTCGACGTCACACGCCCGAAATGTTTTAAAAGCATTTTTTTTTTTGTTCTTAGAAACATTTCAAAAGCGTTAGGTTCTTTCTGAACCAAAATGTATGTTAAGTGTTTTTTGGCGTATTGAATGGAAATAAAATTCGTGCCACAAATGTAATAAAAACTTCCGAATAAAATGTCGTTTACATTTTGTGAAGTCTGTTCGAGACGCGAGCACATGTGACACCAGATAGACTTTTCTTTAAGAAGAATCCAGTCCCCGAATATTTCTTCGGGACCCAAAATTGAATATTTAGTTAAACGTAAGACTACTCAAGTTTGTATTTTAGGGGTTCGGTTGTGAAATGGTAACGTGACGT